AGAAATTAACTTTCCACTCTTGGTTTAAAAATTCCTTCTCTGAAATACCAGAAAATGGAAAGATAGCTGTTGCTCATGGATAGGAAGAACCAACATAATGAAAATGGTCATACTCCCAAAATAATTATACAGATTTAATGCAATCCCAATCAAAATAACATTAGCATTCCTACAGAACTACAGAAAAGATTCCTAAAATTCATGTGGAACCAGAAGAGACCTGGAATAGCTAAACTAATTTTGGACAACAAAGGCAAGGCAGGCCGTGTCACAATCCTTTATTTGAAATTGTACTACAAATCAGCATGTACTGTAATAAAATCAGCATGGGATTGGCAAACAAAACAAAACAAAACAGACCCAAGGATGAGTGGAAGCAATCAGAAAATGCAGATACAACTCTAAAGAAACTCATCTATCTTACCTTTGCCAAAAGAGCCAAACATGATCACTGGAAAAAATATAATCTTTAATACAGCCATGTATTAATAGTGCTGGAAAAACTGGCTTTCCATATGCTGAAGACTAAAACTACACTCACTTCTATCACCATATACTAAACTAAAATCAAAATCGATCAAGGATCTAAATATCCTTAATCTAACAAATCTACTTCGAAGAGAAAATAGGTCAAAATCACGTAGGTATAGGCAGAGACTTCATGAACAAAACCCAAATCACATGGGAAATATTACAAAGAACCAACCACTGGGATCTCATACAATTAAAAAGCTTTTGTTCATCCACAGAAATCACCAGCAGAGTGAAAAAGCAACCTACAGAGTGGGAAAAAATTTTAGCCAGTTATTCCTCAGCAAAGGTCTTATATCTAGAATGTATAAAAAATTGAAAAAAATCAGGCCCCCAAATTCAAAGACTGAATCAAAAAACGGGCATCTGAGATGAATATGTATTTCTCAGATAAAGAAACACAAATAGCAAATAAATATATGAAAAAATGTTCAATATCATTGGTGGTTTGAGAGATACAAATTAAAACAACACTGAGATTTCGTCTTGCCCCAGAAAGAACAACTATCATCAAAACATCAATAACAAATGCTGGAAGGGCTGTGGGGAAAAAGGAAGCCTTTTCTACTGTTGTTGAGAGTATGGAATGGTGCAAATACTGTGGAAATCAGTAAGAAGACCCCTCAAAAAACTAGAATTACAGGTCCCATTTGACCCAGCTATTCCCTTTTTGCATATCATCCCAGAAGAATTAAAAGCATCATTACCACAACAATATATGTGTACCTGTGTTTATAGCAGCAGAATTTGTAATAGCTAAATTACAAACAACCTTGGAAACAACCTAAATGCCCATCAACCGAGGAATGGACCAAAAAAAAAAAAAGTGGTATTTTTATACAACGGAGTACCTATTTTGCCATAAAGAAGGATAAATTTGAAACTTGTCTAGGTAAATGGACTCAACTTGAGACCACAACTCATAAGTGAAATACGTCATACTCACATATGTAAACATCCTATTGGCTCCCTGATGTGAGAAAATGAAAGAGTAAATATGACCAAAATATACAAGAGACATTGTGAAATGGGAAGAAATTTCTCAAAAGGAAAGAGGAACGAGGCTGGGGGAAAGAGAAAGGAAAAGGAAAAAATATGTAAGAGTTATATTGTTAGTTTCTGTCAATTCACTGAAAAGAAAGGTTTGTGCTAATATTATTTGGTGAAGTTTTTGATGCCCATATCTTGTACTCTGAGTAATTACTTTGAAGATAACAATATGCAATATATTAACTACTGTTCCTCTCCTAATTTGTTATGAAATTGTTTTATTTTTCCATAAAATAAAAAATTCTCCCTTTAAAGTTTATACCATCTGAGTGTATCACTCTCCACCCTGCCTGCTCATTTGTCATCTACCACCCTCTCGATTAATTATCTGCATCTGGGTCACAACTTTCTCTTTTCTCTACATCCCATCATTTGAAATCACTTCACTATCCATAATGATGCATTCGATACATACTAGCCTCACAGTTTCTTATATTCAATTTCACTGATCTTCATTTCTGCTATATTTTAGCTATGCATGCAGGGACCTAGCTATCAGAACAGCTCCAAATCAGGAAACTTAGCTTCAAATTAGTAAAAATACATTAATATTACACTTTATGAACCAACCTTGCCCCCTAGCTTACTTCTACTATATTTTTTCATTGATCTGATATGGGGGATATAAAAAATTAAGATGTATTATGTATATGTACCAACTCCCTACGATGAATGTAATCACTCTAGGACTTGTACCAATAAGAATGTAAAAGACATTTACTAATAAAAATCTAAAAAAATAAAAAGCTGCTAAATGTTCCAAGAAAGAAATCACAAAATCTTCAAGTCTACAACAACTCATCACTCAGTTTCCTGTTTCAGTTAATGTTAACCACCGCCCTTCTAGTAACCCAAGGCAAAACCTAAGCAACACAGCAGACTTCTCATTCTCTTACCTGCAAACCCAACCTCATGAATTTTCTCAAATTCATTTTTTTCTCTTCATTTTTATGACCACTTTAAAAACGTTACTTTAACTATGTCTGATAATTATTTTTCAGTAACTAAAAAAACCCTAACTGAATTAATTTCAAAATATTTATCCATCATGACATGGTTTCTGTTATTGCAGCCCCACAGTTTACCACATGTAGCTTTATTGTCACATTCTTAGCAATCCCAGCTACTGTGGTTCTTTATGGGAGCCATTCTTTTTTTTTGCACTAATTCTTTTGTTAAAGCTGTGTGCTGTTTGAAGCACACTTTCTACTCATCTTTGCCTAGTTTTCTCTTACTAAGCAGTTAAGTATCTGGGTCAGGTGTCGCCTCTTCCTAAAGCCTCCCCCCAACTCCTAGGCTAGTCTAACAGCCTCCTTTTGGGCAACTACAGCATCATATACATAGTTCTTATCTTTAATCTGAGATGATCTATTTAAACATAGAATTTGCCAGCTTCATGAGGAATGGAAATTCCTTTATTCATCTGTGTATACTTAGCTAAGCACAGAATATAGCATAGGGCCTGACACATAGCAAATATGTAAGTATAAAGATTAGAACATGCTAAATTTAAATTTTCAGTACAATGTCCACACCAGTGTTAGTGGCTCCAACCTGTAACTCTAAGTTCTTTGAAGCATTCAGAGCCTTTTCTGAATCTGTGCAGTTCTGTAGAGAATGGTGCTATACAAATATTTTACCTAGTTTACATAAAAGGGAAATAGCATTGCACGAACATACCAGAAATCAAAACTTGGCATGTGTGCTACAAACTTCAAAAACTGACTAATTTTTACAAATGAATATGTAAGAAGGACAATCAATTCTGACTACTGATATGTACTTGCTTAAATTATAAAAACAGTAAAATGTTGCTTAGAATTTAAACAGGGTCCCAGACATAAGAGTTTAGCATTTTATCTATAAGGCCATCACATTTCTATGGGCTTGAGAAATTACTGATCTACAAGGTTGCTTAGGCAGGGGTTTATAAAGCTGGAAAACAACCCTTTAAAAACTTTTATTCTATGTACACTAAGGGTAAATTTTTTAAAAACGCAAGCAAAGACTAATGCTGTTAAGTGAACAATCAAAAGTGTCCTTTTTCAAAGTAATTTGGGGCCTTCTGCTGGCAGTTAGTGATAGAGCAAACAGTTCGGTAGAATAAAGCATTTCCCTCTCCAACCAAGTATTAAATTGCAGTTTGGCACCAAAGTAGATCTCAATTCACTCCAGAGTAAAAATAATAAGCACTTTTATTTGCATGGTATGTTACATTTAAAAACCCTCTGATATACATTAGTTCATTTAATAAATTGTTTATAGACATTTTTTAAAAAAGACCTGAAAAATTTTCATGAAATAAGATCTCTTTTAGTTCATATGAACACACATTACTTTGAAAGCTTTTTTTTCTTTCAAGTTCAAAACAGCACAGAATTGAGGAAGGGACAGCACTTTTTATTTAAGCAAATCAACCCTTGAGGCCAAAGAGCTTCCTTCTTGAAGAAACTAAGTTTTGTCTCCACGTTCATTAAGAATCTCTTCTTTACAACGGACATAGGAAAATTAAAGCTCATTTCAAGACACAATCTGAGAGCACGGAATATCAAAAAAGATGGAAGACAGTGGAATTTGTTAAGACAAATCAGATATCTTAATAGCTGGCCAAGAAGTGGGAAAGTTGGAGGTAGATGTTTCTTTCAACCTATAAGCAAATTTATTCAGGAGAATGGAAGCAGACTAGTTTCCCATCACTAGAAGACTGTCCAAAGCGGTTTACCAAATTATTAGGGTATTATTTGGGATTCTCGAAGTCACTTTGGCATGGATTTTGAGGAGAGGGAGGCTCTGGATGAGTTTAAATTCCCTCCCGGTTTGGACACGTCCTGGGGTTTCACCAGCTCCTAGGAGCCTCTTTCACAGCTGTGACCACGTGTCCAGTTCTCCGGGGCTACTCCTCGCCTGGTGCCTGATACTCCCGCTCTAGTCTGCGGTTTGAGACCTACTCTCCCCTCGGGTTTCTTCCGGGGCTCTGGGCAGGGGCAGGTGGCACGCAGGAGTTCTCCCAGTCCCGAGGACGGCTGCTGACAGCTCCAGGCCACCACGCCCGCGACCTCGTCCTCGCCGGCGTTCTGTCACCTCCCCTGTCCCATCGATCGGATCAACTGAGCCCGCGCAGACCCCCGCCTGGGTCGGAGCCAGCCTCCGCCTCGCCCTCGCGGACAGTGCGACCGCGCCGACCTCCCCGCGACGCCGACCCTCTGGGGCCCGGGCCGGGGCAGAAGCGCTGGAGTCCCCTGGCCATTGCCGCCGCAGCAGGGCGGGCAGCCGGACCCTGGGCCGGGACGCAGCTCAGGCCGCCGGCGCGCGGGCCCCAGAGAGCGGGGCGCCCCGAGCGCCGGCGCGGAGAGCTCCCCGCTGCGGGCCGTCCTTCTGGACGCGGGGCGAGCGGGCGGCGACTGCCGCGAGACGCTTACCTGCGGGCCCGGGCGGCTCACTCCCTACCCGCCGCCATGTTTCTGCTGCGCAGGGAGCGAGAGAAGACCCCGGCTGGGGCGGGCGGAGGTTCCCGAGAGCGGCGGGCGGCGGGCGGCGGGCGGCGGGGGGCTCCGGAGAAGAGGCTGTGGCGGCGGCGGCCGAGGGGGCGGGGGCTCCCGGCCCCGCCCGGCCCGCGCCTCCCGCCGCGAGGTGGCGCGCGCCACGGCCGTTAGGCTCGCGCGGGCGGGGGCGGGAGGGACGGAGGCAGAGCGGGAGGGACTCCTCCTGGCGTTCGCGGGCGGCTTAGCTGCCCTAGTTGGGTAACCGACTTCCGCGGAGAGCTGAGGTTCGAATCCCGCCGCCACAGGGAGTCGGCTCCGCGTCCCGGACTTGCCAGAGGTTGACTGCGGTGAAGTTGAGTCACTTGGCACCGCCTCGCCAGCGCCGACTTCTCTAACACGATGGCGCTTAACCCGGAGGGTTGGCGTGAGGAGAATAGAGATCAGCGCGCGGAAATCCTCGGCAGCAGCGCCGCCGGGGACCTAGATGTGAAGCGGGTGCCGCGTGGGGTCATCCTTTCCAGTCCGCCGTGGGCCGGGGTGAGGCAGGCAAGGTGCATGGGCCCCTCTTACAGGGCTCTGCGGTAGGAAACCCAATCCCGGAAGGCGAAGCCGCTCGTTCGAGGTCGCGCAGCTGGGAAACCACCGAGTGGAGGTTGTGCTGTGCCTGCAGGAGTGCTCAGCTCTGTGCCGAACACTCCTAGGAGGAGCATCCTGAGCCAAGCACGTTCAAGCTGACTGTTGGAATCTGCAGGGGGAGCTCTCGCTTCGGGCGGAGGGCAGGATGAGTGCAAAGGCATGGGGGCGAGGCATAGGTGGGGCGGACTTGCTGGAAAGACTGAGAGTGACGGGAGCACAGGGAGATAGAGTGGTGGTGCTGCAAAAGTTAGGAAAAGGAAAGCAGAACGTGGAAGGAAGTCCTTGCACGCCTAGAGTTCCAGGTTTATTTTGTAGGTAAGCGGCTTGCAAAATGTGGTCCTGGGACCTCTGGGTGTCCCTGAGATCCTTTGAAAGTTTTTTCAAAATTTGGTTCCTAATTGTGTCAAACGTTATTTGCTTTTTCCACCCTTGTTCAGATTGCACAGTGAAGTTTTCCACAGAATAAATATTACAACAGAGTAAATGCCCTATTTAAAATCCACTGTCTTCATTTAAAACAGATGTTAAAAGACTTACACAAATGTCAAAACATCACTCTTCTCGTTAATTTTTTAAGAAAATTAATTATTTTATTTCATTGGTTTTTTTGTAATGTCAATGAATAAATAGTTTTAATTTCTCAGCTTTAATTTTATATGAAAATAATGATAGAAGTGACGAACTGCAGGACCGACAATGATCCTTGAGCCAAATCTGATCCCTTTTTTATTTGTATCTGCCCAGGAGCTAAGAATGTTTTTTTATGTTTTTAAATAGTTGAGAGAAAATTCAAAAGAAGGGTAATAGTTCATGGCATAGGAAAATTATATAGTAAAGTTTTATGGTAACTCTGTCAGGCTTTCTATAGCTGTCTTTGTATTGTACTACAGTGGGCTGACTGTATGACCTACAAAGCCTAAAATACTTACTCTAGTCCTCAACGCCCCCCCCCAAAGGCCAGCCCCTTAATTTTGAACTATCTGTAATAACATGAAAATATCTCAGAGTACTGAACAAAAGAGAATAAACAACATGATGCCACTTACAAAGTTTTAAAATAAAAGAATGACAGTTTTGTTGAAGGACATACACACATACACACACACACACACACACACACACACACGTGTGGTAAAAATACAAAGATATGCATTGTTTGCCTAGTATGTGGAAGCCCTAGGTTCAATCCCTAAGACTGGAAAAAACACAAATATATAGGATAGTGGCTGTCTCTAGGAGGTGGGAATGTCATCAGGGCGGTGTGCATAGAGGATTTAAACTATTAGTAACATGTTCATTACATTATCGTTTTTTGTTTCACATTAAAAGCAACACAAAATGTTAATGAATAAATGATACCAAATGTTGTAGGGCATGCCTGTAATACCATCTGCTCTAGAGGCTGAGACCAGCCTGGTCGCTTTATTTTATTTTAAAAATAATAAAATCCAACAAAACAAAACAGAACAAAGCCAATCAAGACGACGCAGCAAACTGGTACAGAACTTCAAAGCAGGTTAGGCCATGCAGGCCACACTTCACAGTGTCCCAGTCATTCTTGTTCTCTTCACAATAGTTGTCCATATCATCAGGTACAGCAAGATCAAACAAAAAACAGAATAAGGTAATAAAGACAACATCACATAAAGCAAAACAATGAGAACAATATTGGACTTCAAAAGACAAAATAGAAGGAAATTCTCCATATTTGCTCTATTGCATTCTGTCATCCTCCCAAAAAATGCTCAGACCGCTGGCCCAGGCCTGCAAAATCAACCAAACAACACAAGCCTTAGTTGCTTTATGTATCTGAGTTGCTATCAGCCTGTGCTCTGAAGCAACTGGTTACTTATGGGGATGGGATGGCAGGGAGAGCAAGACACAGAATTTGATTTTCAGCCTGCTGGTTTCCTCAAAGGAGGCATGATCTGAGTTTTCTCTCCCGCACACCTTGTGAGGCTTACCAGAAAGGCTAGTTTCTAATTTTCTAGTGGTTTTTCCCAGTCCCAGCATAACCTGGTAACTTTAGCAAGAACCTTTCTCAACTAAAATTTTTAAAAAGGCCTAGGGTGTAGCTCAATGGCGAAGCAGTTAACTAGCATGTATAAGGCCCTGAAGTCAATAATGAAAATTTAAAAAGGAAAAAGAAGAGAAGAAAAATGAATAAAAGAGATTCAAAGGCTTTTTTAGCTGCTCAAAAATACTTACATTTGACTTTCATGTATTGTAACATTTAACAGTGAAATATGAATTCTGAGACCTGCTGTGCTGGGTGTGAAGTTAGTGTAAATATGATTTGGAACATGATAACTCTCATGTTGTACAGGGGTGTGCTGATTGAAGATCTCTGAGCTTCTTGGAAGGAAATCCACCTAAGCCAAGGATGGACACTGAGGCTGGGCTACTTGCTTGTTTCTGGAATAAACCTTGAAAGAAAGTTTCCTCCTTCTGTCTAGGTCTTACAGTCTGTCTTAGTTACTTTTTACTTGTTGCTGAGACAAAATACCTAAAGCCCAAAGTTGGGAAAGGAAAGATTTATTTCTTACAGTTTTTGGAGGTCTCAGTCCATACTCAGTTGGCTCCAAGGCAGGGTGGCATGGCTGGGCCTCCAAGGCAGGGTGGCATGGCTGGGCCTTCCAAGGCAGGGTGGCATGGCTGGGCCGCAGTTCATGGCAGCTCCAAACAGCAAGGAGGAAACCGGTAAAAGAGCAAGACACACCTTTTTCCAGCCATTGCATTACATCCTGGTCCACCTCTAGGCCAGTGTAGCACTCACACCCCCAATCCAAGCACTAAACAATGAACCAGTCACAAATGCATAATGTAATGCATGAGGCCTGTAGGTCACCCATATAAACCATGACATTCCACCCCCAGTCCCCAGGACTCATGTACATCTTTTATACAAAAGACATTTAGTCCATCTCCAAGAGTTGCCAAAGTCCTAATTGTTTCAGCATGGCTGAAAAGTCCAAGTACCAAGTCTCCAAGATCTATGGCAAACTCTTAACTGTAACCCCCTGTACAAATGAAACAAGGTTAAACATTTCTGAAATACAAAGGCACAAGATAAACACTACCATTCCAAAAGTTACAAACAGGGGAATATAAAGCATTGGAAACAAAGCAAGTCCAACATCCAGCAAGATGAACATTAAGTCCTAGAGTTTCATGCTCAGCATTTGAAGCAATCTGGTTGCAAGCTTCAAAAGGCTTGAGTGATTCCACCTTCATGGCCCTTCCAGGGATATCAGCTCCTGCAGCTTGTCTCTTAAACCCTTTCTGCTCACTTCTTGCAGCTTTCCTTGGATGATCCACGTTCCTGGCTTTTCCAAACTTCTGGGGTCTCCATTGTACCTTTGGCTTCATCTTTACATCTTTACAAACTGCTCTCTCAGGGGCACACTGGTTGGCGTCCCAGGCCCTTTGCAATCAAGGTGGAGGCTGTCTTACCCTCAGAATTTGTGTATTTTCCTTGTATCTAAAATCAGTACCTTGTGGATGCTGCCAAGGTCTGCTGCCAGCTGGAACAGCAGCCAGGCTTTTCTCTCTCTTGACTATAGGGGTGGATTTCCTGGATTGTTGGGCTCTGTGAACCTGATTGTGAAGAAAAGCTTCTCTATGTTGCCGCCATTCCGGAACCTCATGTGGCCTCTGTTACCCTTCTGGAGCATGGTGCTCTACAGCTTTTTCCTCTGGACAAATTCTTTCACTTTGGCAGTTTTGAGGCTGCAAAGCATAGGAACCTGCTGCTTCCTGGGATGCCCTGGGACCATCTTTGTTATCTCTCTGTTTCTTCTCAGCAATGAAAGTCTCAGTTCAAACTTTATAATCCACAGCTTTACTGTAGTTTTCCTTCTGGTCAAACTCACAGCACTGTAAATTATCCTGCTGGGCTCTTTCCTCTTGATTTGCAACATAAAGCTGGCTAAAAACTCCCAGCAATAGCCATGCCACAGCCTCAACATTTGACTGCCTTGAAATTGCTTTTCCCCGATTAATCAGTCCATTGCCCTTTGTCTCAGCCTCAGGCAAAGTCTCTTGGCATGAGCAAAATGCAGACAAACTTTCTGTCAAGCTATAACACACATCGTGGGGAGTTCAATAACCAATGCAGTCCTTCTTCCCAGCAGAAACCTCCCAAGCCTGGTCTTTACCAATCAGGCTCCCTATCAGTCTTCTGGTCTCCTGAGCTCTGACCAGAATCTCCTCTACAGAACAGCCTAAGCTGCTCCAGCTCTATGCATCCAGGCAACATGTCCAAACCTTTCCAAACGCTGCCCACAAGCCATTTCCAAAGCCTCTCAAAAAACATGGTCAGGTATCGTCACAGCAAATGACCCCACTCCTGGTACCAAATTCTGTCTTAGTTACTTTTTACTTGTCACTGAGACAAAATACTTGAAGCCCAAAGTTGGGAAAGGAAAGGTTTATTTCTTACAATTTTTAGAAGTTTCAGTCCATACTCAGTTGGC